ATTAACAGGCTTCTGCCCAATTTGAAGAGTTAATTCAATCACTGAATCAGGTGTGTTGGAGCTGGAAAACCTCTAAAACATGCAGGATAGCGGCCCTCGAGTACTGGAGTTTGACACCCCTGGCTTAGTCAGAAACTCTGCTGCTGGTTCGTCTAGACACTTCCATACCTCCATGGGTATATCATCCGGGCCAACTGCCTTTCAAACTCTTCATCCTTTTCAAGGCCTTCCTTACTTCATCCTTGCTAATTTTTGCATTTTTGTGGTGTTTTCTCCTCCTCTTTGTTCTCTCTCATTTTCTTCATTCATCAACTTTTCAAAGTACTTCTTCCATCTTCCTATCACACTTTTTGCATCTGTCAGTACAGTTCCATCCTCATCCTTAATACCGTAACCTGTTGGACATCCTTCCCATCTCTATCTCTCTGCTTTGCTAACCTGTATAAATCCTTCTCCTCCTCCTTACTCTCCAGTCTATTATATTGGTCCGTGTATGCCCTTYGTTTGGCCCTAGCTTCCTCTACCCTCACTTTATGCTGTATCTCCTGTACTCCTGGTGACTCTATTCAGTCCTCACATTGTCCCACTTCTTCTTAGCTGCTCTTTTTTCTCTGTACACACACTTGCAATTCCTTATTCCATTGCCATGTCTTCTTGTCTACTTTCCTTCCTGAAGAAATGCCAAGTACCCTCCTACCTGTCTCCCTGACAGCATGAGCAGTAGTTATCCAGTTTTCTGGTAGCACCTCCTGGCCACAAAGAGCCCGTTTCAACTCCTCCCTGAAAGCCACACAATTTTCTTCATTTTTCAGCTTCCACCACTTTGTCTTTGGCTCTGCTTTTGTTCTCTTCACCTTTCTCACCTTCAGAGTTATTCTACACACCACCATCCTGTGTTGTCTAGCAACACTCTCACTTACTTAAATTGGGGCGGCCGTGGCGGAGTGGTTAGGGGAGTCATCCTGGAACCAGAAGGTCACCGGCTTGATCCCCCGTTTTCCAGCCGTTTCAGTCATTGTGTCCTGGGCAAGACACCTCACCTGCCTTGCTTACTGATGGTGGTCAGAGGTGCCAGTGGCACAGTATGGCAGCCCCACCTCTGTCAGCCTGCCCCAGGGCAGCTGTGGCAGCAATGTAGTTTACTATCATCAGTGTGTGAATGAATGATGCATCAAGAATTGTAAAGCGTCTTTGAGGGTCTCAAAAAGCGCTATATAAGACCAATGCATTATTATTATTTATTTTTATTACCACAGCCTTACAATCATTGAATTCCTTCAAATTGCATCGTCTACACAAGATGTAATCCACCTGTGTGCTCCTACMTCTGCTCTTATATGTCACCCTGTGTTCCTGTCTCTTCTGGAAGAAAGTATTCACTACAGCCATTTCCATCCTCTTTGCAAAGTTTACCAACATATGTCCTTCTGCATTTCTGTTCTGGATGCCAAAATTGCCCATGACTTCCTCATCACCTCTGTTTCCTTCTCCAAAATGCCCCATGAAAACTTCCCCAATCACCACTCTCTCACCTCTGGSRATATTCTGCATCACTCCAGCTAACTCACTCCATAAGATCTCCTTCTCTTCCAACTGACATCCTACCTGTGGGGCATACCCACATACAACATTGAACATCACACTTTCAATTTCTAACTTCAGACTCATCAGCCCACCAGACACTCTTTTCACCTCCAGAACATTCCTGACCAACTCTTCCTTTAAAATTATCCCTACACTATTTCTCTTCTCATCCACACCATGGTAGAACAGCTTGAACCCTGCTCCTATGCTTCTAGCTTTACTTACTTTCCACCTGGTCTCCTGAACACAAAATATGTCCACCTTCCTCCTCTGCATCATGTCAGCCAACTCTCTAGCTTTCCCTGTCATAGTCCCAACATTCAAAGTTCCTACTCTCAGTTCTAGACTATTGCCATTTCTCTTCTCTATCTTCCTACAGACATGTCTTCCTCCTCTTCTTCTTTTATGACCACCAGTAGCCCAATTTCCACTGGTGCCCTGCTAGTCACCAGCACCTATGGCGGTCGTTTTTAATCAGGGCCATGACCGATCCGGTATACTTGAGATCATGTCCTTGACTCGCATGTTAGGTTTGGCAAAATGTTTTACACCGGATTCCCTTCCTGATACAACCCTCTGCATTTATCCGGGCTTGGGACTGGCGCAAAGGACAYGTCCCTTTGTGGCTGCATTCAAGAATAGCTACGTTTATATGYGCAAAACTTTTTGCACAAATTGAAATGTATTCAGAAGAAAATAAATACTTGTAGTGTGTCTTCTGAGTGCCCAGAACRAACCCGTACTAGATTTTAATAAAGCGGAGACGTTACTGCACTCCATTTTTAACACTTTGACAATGAAAGTGTTTAATAATTTTGAGCTCTTTCAAAGTTTCCAATAGAAATATATCGCTAACCAACCAGTGTTGGTTCCCCAAACAAATTAGCATCTAGCCAGATCAGTCAGGTTAGTTTTCCATAAGCAGAATAACATGATCAGAATAAGTGTTTAGATGTTCTCTGTTCATATTATCAATTGGCATAAACTAACCTTCTCATTCTGATTACAACTTCATTCCGATCATGTTAAATCAGATAAGATGATGACAACATGATGTGTTTTTATTCCAATTGGCCATTTATTCCAAATAGTTATGTCAATGTAAACATAGCTACTGTAGGACCAAACCTGTTATATCTACGTGGAGTCTCTCAAGTTTTGAATATCAAACAACAATTTCAAAATCTTACTGTACGAAYAGGAATTACTCAAAGCCCAAACTGGAGCTTGATCCTCACTCAAGTTTGCTCTCTGCATCCTGCAATGTCTTATTTGTATCGTTTTTATGTTAACTTTGGTGCTCTACCTGTGATCCAAATGCTTCAATGTGTTCATTTCTGATAAGAAACAAAAATCTAAGAAAATGTATTGACTGAAAGTTAAATACACCTTGTTAAGTCAACACTGAGATGTTAGACCCAGGAGATAGTGGCTTCTTCTTAACAGGAAGAAATATGTTTACTTTCCAATAGAACCAATTTGGAATCCTTTTTTATGTGTTGTAGCTTTACCTGAATAAATATTCATCAAAACACATAAACAAACAAGTTTAGAAAAATGTGGATGCCCACACCACTATGTCTGCTTGTTTGTTCACACCTGAATGCAGGCTGATTGTAGAGATTATTTTTCCTCTTCCCTCCACAAAGTATTCTGAGACTGCACTCCCAATTAACCTGTGTACACAGTTAGCCCTGTGCAGCCTTACCTCTCCAGTGGGAACAGATTAAATTGAGTGTTCTCGGAGTAATGAGTAATTTAATGCCATAAACAGACAATAATTTGATGTTGAAATAAATTAAAGAAATTGCATTTCAAAGGTCAGTATGGATGATACATGCACAGACACTTACAGAGTCTCACATAAGCCTTGAAACAATTGCAGTTTTTGTTATTATAATTTTAATTCATTTTTTTTTTTTTTAGTGACAATATAAAGGGAAGTCTTGCATGTCTAAGGCTGCAGTTGCTTGACACCAGGGTCATTGCAAGTAAATAATTACACCTGATCCAGAGGCTGAAATTAGTTTCTCTCAATTTTGCTGTCATCTCAGGCCCAGTCTACCCCACTGCAGGTATATAATATTTATCTACAAGACAAATTTAGCATGGCTAATGATTATCCAGGGCCGGCTGTAGCCAATATGGCACCCTAGGCAAGATTTCAGGTGGGGCCCATTGCGCAGTTTTCTAAATCTCACTGCCAATATACAAAAACTCACATGCCAAATTGAATAGTTTTGTTTTTGATTTAATTTTGTTTATCTTTAGAAACCAGGTTGTCCAATTAAAATAGTTAATAAAATTAATTAGAAACAGAATACCAAATGTTTACCTCATACTTGCCAACTTCTACTGACAGCAATGAGGAAGGAACACCTGTTCATATYAATGAGCAGGTGTGGACTGAAACAGTTCTGGGCCAGGGGGGTCCACTGAGAAAAAAAATATACTTTTTTTAATTATTAAAAACACTCGGCCCAATTTGAACCAGGAGTTTTTTGCATTTATCATGAATTTAAGTAAATTTCTAATGATCCAATCCCAGCTGGGTAAATAGCACAAAGCTGAACACTCTAATGATCAACTTCTTTGTTCTGCAGATGTTGAATGTGTTTACTGGTGTTTTGTAGCATGTCAAAAGCCTAATACCAAATGAACACTTATCAGAAATATTTGAAACAATCATAAGCCCAGCTACAGTACGTTTTTTAAATAAAACTATGTAAGTATGTTTAAAAAACAGTGATTTGCCACTGTGCATTTTTA